CCAGCCTTGAAGTATTGCATATGAAAATTGCAGTTTTTCCTTAAACCCTGAGTCCTTAAGCATGAGATTTCAGATAATATTAAGTTTAAATATACTTTTAGATTAAAAAATACAAAACATACAGGTTATTTGATTTTATTCTTTTTGAAACTATTGTGTCCTAAGATGCTAGTAAATACAATTATTTTCATTGTATTGTTAGTGGAATATGTATATAACATTACCTCCAAACAGCTTAAAGTCATCTTTTATGAATATTAATGTATATTTTCCTTGAAATTGAGCCACATGAGCAAGGATTTCGATGAAAGCTCACACAGTATTTACAGTTTCCTGAAATGATGGAGTAGTTAAGAAGTTACTCTAGCTGTACTGTTTTCAGTAGTTTAAACTGGTTTGGACAAATGTAGATGAACACTATTCATACTTTGTGAAGATTATAGGTAAATAATGCAGCTAACAGTTCAGCTCAGATTTAAAAGCACATCATGCAGTTGATTACTGAAATTTACACAAGGATTATGGCTAAAATGCATCTTGAGCAGTCTGAGCAAAGTGAAGAAAATCTAGTAACAAGCATTAATTTTAAAGCAAGAATCTTGTTTCATTATTTTGTTACCCATTTTCTTAGTAATAAATATATAAGATTAGTATTAGTATTTTATAAATATGAACTTTAGGTTTTATAGTTGGGTATTATTGGACATACTTTAACTGAAATTAGTTAAAAGTTGAAAGCTTATAAATTTATTTTTTCTTGTTTTTTTTTTCTTTCCTTAAACTTGAAGCGTTCTGTTTTACAGAGGCCAAGCTTTGTATTTTTCAGTAATTATGTATGCATATTACTACAGTTTATGACTAGTCACCACAAAAGTATTACCAAATAATTTGCATGTAGATTTCTATTTGGGAGAAAATAACTAAAACATAATACAAACTTTTCATTTTTTTTTGTACATGTGCTTTCAATATATAATCAATATCGTGGGCTGGGGATTTAGCTCAGCAACACAGCACCTGTCTGGCAAGTGCAAGGTCATGAGTTCGATTCCCGGTACAGGAAAAAATATATATATAATCAATATCAAAGTTTTATTTATATTGTGGGCTTTCCTGACTATTTTGTTCACCTTCAACAATATAGTGATATGCAAATACTTGATAAATACCTTTTCTTTAAGTCATTAACATGACATTTAGATTAAATGTGATTGAACTTCATATTAATTGTTTGAACTCAGTTACATGGCTTATTTTAAAAATCTACCCTATTTCAATTTCCTTCTGCCACGTAGCCTAAGAACTGAGAAGTAATTAGGTGCCTTTTCCAAATAAACAGATTGCCTTTGATTTTTAGAGGCCCCTATTATAAAGATAGGTAAGAGGCTATCACTTCTCTGAAGGAACTTTTAGGTCCGCTGGTTGAAAAATGATTACCACTTGAATAGAATTTTCCTTCAGAAAGCACTTCACACATGGATTCAACTGATGGATGTTTGCAGCTTGTGGGTTATGGGTGCATGTCTGACTCCTAGATAAATCTAACAGTTGATTACAGAGATATGTTTTTTCTTCTGTAAGCATACTGTGACTCTGTGCATGTACACATTTTACTAAGATGTATCACTGACAGTGGGAGATATAATATTGTGGCAAGCTCTTTGTAAAACCTGTCACAATTCTTGTTTTTTTTTTTTTGTTTTTTTCTCTGGTACCAGGAACCGAACTCACGACCTTGCGCTTGCCAGGCAGGCGCTTTTGCCGCTGAGCTAAATCCCCAGCCCCAACCTGTCACAATTCTTGAGACATCTGTTTAGCATTCAGTTGTTACACTGTAGTCCTCTTGCCTCTTGTTGGAAAGATAAGCAAATGCTCAGGGTGGTGTTATCAGAACAGACTGTGGTTGGTGATTAATTCTGCAAAGGCTAAAAATGTACATGCACATTTGTCACGAATTCAGGTTGGTACTCTCCCTTCTAACAAACTCCGATTAGCCCTTCTTGTTCCTTAACAGCAAATCCCAAGCGGAGAGTGATGTTTTCCTCCCACAGGGGACAATAATTGTCTAGGTAATGGAAATGCAGTTGAATGACTCCCTTCAAACATTTATCAGATAATTTTCATGACTTCTACTTTAGTTAACTTTGTCTGAGACTGTCCAAGATACACGAGGGGAATGAAGGAAGAAATTGTTCAGCTTGTAGTTGGCAGGAAAATTCTCCTGCTGGATAAGTTCACAAGTTACGGCTGGAACACTTTGGTAATAAGTTTTTCCACTGTGCAAAGCCAGATAATCACAGCCCGACAGCAGAACAGAACCTGTATTGTCAACATGGAAAAGTGGTGGTGATCGGGGAGTGGTGGTGTTCTGGCAGCACGCTTAGAATTTTGTTCTTGTCCTTTGCAGTGAGGAAGAACTTGTGCATATCAGCGATTGCAGCTTGGTCTGCTGTTCTATTACACAGAAAGTATGTGGCCCAGATAAATGCCCAAGTGTTAGTACTGAGTTTGAATTCTCCACTTGAAATGTTTTGAGAACCTCAGTCAGTAAAGATTCTGACACGTGTTGTTAATGTACTACTCTTTCAGTTTAACACAAGAGCTTTAAAAGTGTTAAATCCTTTTAATGTATTAACATTTCTCACATTAAATCCATGAAGCTGGGGCCTTTTTTCACTTCCCTTTCAAGGAGAGAGAAGCGAGGCCCAGGGAAGGAAGTGCCTTGCCTGGGATTTCACAGTGAGTCTGACTCTGGGAGCCACTCTCTGCCATCATTCTTGTGTATCTTGTTATAAAGGCTAAAAGAAGCATCAGTCTCCAAGAGAAAAATCTATACTTTCTTCCCTAGGCCCTACTGGATTTTTAAAATGTTTGTTTTTAATAAGTATGTTTTCTGAGGGAGGGAAGAACAGAAATATGTAAATTCATTCAAAAGTATTAATACAATGTGAGTATAACTTTTACCATTTTGAAGGGATTTTCCACTTCAGCATTATAAATTTATAAATCTCTGGTTTCTTTCCATACTGTTAGGAGTACTCAATATAGATTTAATGTCAAATGTAATTGGAAAATTTGATTACTGTCCTGACTTTTGATACTAGATTTCATTAAATGTTTTAATCATAGAATTAATATTAATAATTAAATAATGCCTACATAATCCTATTTATGATGTTACTATTTTAAATTAGGATTTTATATTCAAATTTTATAATTATTAATTGAAATATTTGCTTTGCTCACTATATGTATAATGGGTAGGCAGAAATTCTGTACATTTTACTTATTTTCATATTCTCAGCAAGTAAAAAGGTTCTTAACACATAGTTAGTACACACTTAGTATTTGCTAAAGATATTTTTGAATATATAAAGCATGAAGTTAAACACTGTGAGTTCATTAAAATGTAAAATTCTGTTCTTCTCTACTAACTATTCCAGGTTATTATTGATAAAGAAATTCAGTAATAACATGGCAAGCAGCAAGAAGCTGAGTAAACTGTATTCTTTCTCACTTCTACCTTGTTAGTACTTATTTTAGTTACTTTTTTTCTCGTTGCTGAGACAAAATATCCGTGCCCAAAATTAAGTTAGGAAAAGTTTATTTAGCTCACGGTTTGTGGAGGTTTCAGTCCATAATCAGCTGGCTCCAAGGCAGGATGGCATGGCATAGGGGCAACAATTCAACGTGGCAGAAGACAGCAAAAGCAACAAGAGCAGAAAGGGGAAGAGCTAGCCTGTTTCTGTCCCTTGCATTATAAGCAACCTACTGGCCCTCTGGCAGTTGTAGCACTCATACCATCTCCCTGCCCTCCTCTTGCACAGGCTCAGGATGTTTACAAAGTGAGACCCCTGGACCCTTGCTGAGTCACTTAGTTAACCTTCTAAACTTAAGAAACTTGACACAATTAACAACATCCTAGAGCAATAAGGACGTGTCCTCTACACCCTAGGATGTAGAACTGCTGAGTTACTTAGTTAAGCTTCTAGACTTCTCAAATAGACACAACCATATCAACCGTAACAATATAGACCCAGCATAGTGCCCAATAAGTAGTTAATAAAAATATGATTGAATAATTGAACAAGCTGAATGATTTAAGCTCTTACTCTCTTATTCATACCTCTTTTAAACAAATCTTAAGTACAATAACTATAGCATTTAGGAACATATGAATTAAGGTATAAGGCAGGAATGAGGGACAGCACCTTCCAGGAACAGCAGTCTACCACATCTGAATTGAGTACAACCTCACAGGCTGTGACCTCCAACTGCCTTTTGCAATTTAGCACCTTCAGAGTGTCACTAACCAAGAGATCACTTTACCTCTCCCTTCCTACTTCATCACTCAAATTTAGTGTCATCGGTGATTGACATCACTTTGGAGTTTGATTCTCTGTGGCTGGCTTAACCCATTGGTACCTCAAACAGTAACTTCATTTGTTTAGATGAGACTGCGTCAGATATCTGAGGAAAGTTTCCCTGTCTGTGGAGGATACTCTATAACACCACACTACCTGGGGTGTTTACATAGTATTTTCTATTTTGTGGCTGCCTGCTCTTTCTGCCCCTTTTGTTACTGAGCTAGTCCTAACCTGTCTGTGAATAGCTCACTGAGCAGCAATACTAAATATTGATGATCAGTGTAAATCTTAAAGTTTGTAATGCTTGATCTAATGTTCTTTTCTCAGTTCTTGAAGACTTGGTGGATTGACTGATGCTCAGATGTCTCATGCTGCACTCACAGCATGTGGTACCTCAGCTGCCTTTCTTTCATAGATAAGTTCATATGTTGGCTTTCCTCTTTTCTGTCCATGTACAGATTTCTATCATCACACACTGTGCCTCATGTTTGCTAACACTAACTACCCTGTTCATAACTTCTGGCACCTTGTTTGGTTCAGTGTTTTTGGAAACTCTGAAGTAAATATACTATATTTAAAGGTTTTCTAATTTTTTTAACAGAAGCTCCATAATCTACTCCTACCTCCCCACAGGATGAATCAGGGAAACTGCTGCAGGCAGACAGTGACACCAGGACACCAGGAAATGCCTGAGAAGGTCAGCCCCACCTTGGCAGAATGCTTTCAGGAACTTGGACAGCATATATCAGCATTTCTAAGAAACATGCAAGTCCAACATATTTCCTACTCAAAATATGCACAAAAGTTTTGATTAACAAATAGATATCTTTGGATATTAAAGTTACTAAGCAATGACTATGAATAACATGATTAATAATTCCAACAACAGTTATATAAATGTCATATTTTTGGTTTGTGTTTTAAGTTTAAATGACACAGAAGAAAATAATTACAATAAATATCATAAATTTCATCAATATTTATTTCGCTTTTAAGATTCCAAAGATATTTTATGGAACATTGATGGTATTTTTAAATGGCAATACTTAAATTTAAAGTGTCAGGATTCATGAGTTCATGTTAGAATATTTGATCAAAAATTAGTTTACATTTTGATAGTTTATTGTCTATGTATTGACTGTGAGAAATTAAATGGGCATTTAATAATTCCTGAAAAGATGTAATATTAACCAAATATTAAGTCAATGTTCACTTACTTCTCAAAGATTGATTTTTGGTACATAGAACCCGTTCCTAATTGAGGGATAGTCATGGTTGCACCATATGTGACCATAAAGGTTGTGAAATTTTAATTAATAAACTGTTTTCACTTGTAAGAATATAATGATTATACTTTTTATCAGTTTTTAGGAGCGGCTTCATGAATTTTAATGTGTTCTAATAGTAAAACAAAAGGGAATGTTATTTACTAGTTATATTTCTCAATCAAATTCTGCTTTGGATGAAGTAAAAGAGTTACCACACATTATGTAAAATGGAAAAAACATACTGCATAGCAAGTAAGATGACATTATTTATTATATCAGGATAATAAAAGACAATTTAAAAATCCCTCTATATAATGTTACTGATAAGCAAAATCCAAGAAAAATATTTTAAAAATAAATAATATACAGTCACCAAAAATTATATAATTGTCTGATATTAAAATATGTTGTGGAAAATTAAGATTTCTCAATTTCAAACTCTAGCAGTAATATTAACCTGCCAGTTAATACTTCACAGTTTATGTGTTCAAACTGATTCCCTAGCACTTTCAGCTAGCTAACTGTGACATTTCAGTACACAGTGCCTGTGTATTCTGTGTTACATGGCTCTTACAGAAAAAATAGAAAAAGAATGCTGTAGCCCTGTATGAAATCTTCATAGTCTATAGTCAAACAGTGTCCTTCTGTAGCTAGGAGGCATTAGATTGATGCACACATTGTTTGAAAAACCTGGTGCCAATTTGGCAATATACTCAGAAGCCACTATCTGCACATATTACGTGGTGCCCCATTATCCCTTCAGATGAAGTATTTTATGACCTTTAGACCGCTGGCATGTTGTTACCAAACAGTGAGAGGAACCTTTAAACTCAGTTATAAATTTTATGGGGAAAAGAATCTAAATGTTTCTCTCAGCTGAGTTTGGTTGATTAAAGTGATTAATTCACTGATAAAGCCATTATAAGTTGACTTGTACAAATAGTAGTGAAGAATTTGCAACATCCTCCCATCATTATTGTAGGGGTCATAAATTTTCTTACAATATGTAAAGTATTTGCTGCATTGAACAAAAGGCAGAGCCTATCAATGTAGCGAGTGATTTTAATTACACTGCTAATTATGAAAAAAATTAGAGTTCACTTCAGTAGCAGTTGTCACTCAAAACAGGTTGTTATATACTAGCACACTAATGAAAATCGTATACCTTAGTAATAGGGATACAGAAGTCTGAGGGGCTCACTGAATGTCGGCAATAGCAAAATTTCTCCTAAATGTTCAACTTAAACTATAATAAAAAGTTTTTACTAATTTTATCAAACTAAAAATTAATAGTTTAAGCTAATCTAAAGGAATTTTTAATTCACTTATCCACTGAATATTTTTTTAACATGCTCATTGTACTGGACACTGTGCTAGACATAAGAGATTCAAAGATTAGTAAGGCATATGTTCACCCTTATTGCACTCCCAGTGTAGTAGAAGAGTTTTTAAAACTACAGAAAAAGAGTACATAGTATTTTAGATGAAATAATTTATTTTTGTTTGAAATGAAAATAAATTAAGAGAAAGGATGAAAGTTAATAAATTTAGTTTTTTAAACTTATAGATGATGATCACAGGGAGGAACTAAAATTATTTTGGCTCAAAACTAAAGCAAGTATTCGATAATGATCTGAATTTCTGAAGAAGGAAGGCCACATGAATTGGCAAGCCATGTTACACTCGGCGGTTACAGTTAAGTAAAAAAAAAAAAAAGAATATGAGGAATGAATACTAGAACTTTCGCAAGATTGTGCAAGTCTGTAATAAGAATTTCTTTTAAGTTTATTTGCTACCAAGAGTGACCTTGACTGATAACAATGAAGAATTACAGAGCACAGTTATGGCTCGGCTGGTGGCTGTGGTGGAGAGACAGGTAGACCAACTTCAGGGTTACACTGCGGTTCTCAGACGGGCACAGTGATTGATGCCTGGGAAAATGTGCTTAAGAGGTGAGGGTGGTTGACTGTGTCAACAAATCAACACAACTGCAGAGAGCACTTCCAGGATAATCATTTGTACGCAGCCTCATCTGAAAACAGATTGCAAGAGCTCTGTGCTGTAGGTCATTGAGGAAATGTAGTGGTGACGTAGTCTATGAAAATGCAAAGTATTACGTTGTGGTTATTGTTCTTAGAATGTTTCTGTTTCTGTGCATAGAATAGGGACATTTACATTTTCCCTTCTACCTCACTGATCAACCCTCAGTGTTTTTTCTGAATTTTTACTGTTTTTCTCAACCTTAAGCATTGAGGGTTCCTCCCTCCTTAGTCTCTCCATTTCTCCCAAAATACTTTCTGCCCCTTTTCTCTTTCTATACTTCCCAGCTCACTCCATGTGGATTTTACTTGGTTTCACAGTTTTAAGCACCAATTATATGTGAGCAACTCTCAGGTTATATCTTAAACCCTGACGCCCTCCTGACTGGCCCATCATCTCCATAGTACGAGATAATAGGTATCTTAAAATAAACACATCAGAAGAGCACTTCTGGGCCTCACAGTGCCTGTACCTGCAGGCCCAGCACTTGGGAGGCTGATGCCGGAGTGTCCTTTGAGCCAGGAGTTTGAGACTAGGCTTGGCAACATACCAGGAGCTCATCCCTTCCACCTCACTTCCTTCTCCACGCTTCACAACAGCACAGTTTCTGATTCGGTACCCGTTCCCACCATATTCTTCCTCCTTTAGTGGCCTCTATGTCAATAAATCTGTCCACCGTCCCATAAATCGCTTAGTTCAAAACTGTGGCTATCGATTGTGCTTCCTCCCTTTCCTTTTTCTTTACACCCCACATGTTAGAACGTTTTGTCACATCTGCCTTCAAAATGAGTCCTGAGTCCTTCTTCCTTAGAGTTATGGTTGGCGTCTAAAATCACCCCCAAGTTCTCATGAGTGTGGAAGGAATAATCCACTGAGGAGTTCACGGCTGAATGTGCTGTTAGGAACGGGCCTGGTTGGAAAAGGCAGGTCATCAGGAACTCAACCTGGCAGGCAGGGTGTATTCTTGCCCACTGCTCCTCCGTCCTTGGTCTCTCCTGTCCTCCCACAGGCCCTTCCACCAAGCTTCTTCTGCCTTGGAGCCCGGTGACAGTGGACACAAACGTCTGAAACCCAGCCAAAATCACCCTCACTTTCTTTAAGTGACGGGTGTTGGTTATTGGGTCCCAGTGTCAAGAAAGTAACTGAGACATCTCGCCATTCTCATCTTTCAGTAGCTATTGTGTCCCTTTTCTTACCTTTCTATAGTTCATTTTCCTCTCAACAAAAAGTGCTATGTTTTGAAGTGTGAACTGATCCATAACATACTATACTGAGGACTTCTGTGGGCCCCATTGCTGGCAGGACTTTGTCGTTCTCCTTGCCTTGGGTGTGTATATTGTGATCCATCCACTAGGATACCGTTGGACCCAGAGCATATCTGTTATTGTTCTCTTGTGCTCCTGCCTAACACTTTGCCATAGAGTGTTTTTGTTTTTGTTTTTGAGCTTCCCAGACCTACCCAACTGTTAGGGCTTAGTGTGCAAGAGGCTACTTGTTTCTGTCATTTTAGAGCATTTCATGGGTCACCTCTTCAGAGACACCTTCCTTGACTCCCAAGATGAGCTTCGGCTCTCCATGTGTACCTGCCTCGCCCTGTACTTGGCCTCCCAGCGCAGCACTGGTCCTTACTGTAATGTCTGCAGTGTTTTCATGTGCACACCTCTCAGAAATTTTGATTTTATCTTTGTTTACTTCTCTGATGTCTGTTCACCTTATCAAATGTAAGCTCCTTAAGAGTATGGGTCTTATTGGCCCTTCTAATTGAGCCCTCAAAGTCTTGCAAAGTAATGAAAAGAGATTTTGTATCTCAGTTTGTTCTTATGTTTTCATCCTCAGATGTTTTAGAGTGATTTCCAAGTGATAAAGGAAAGACACAGAAAGCTAACGACATACCTTACTCATTATTTTGATACTGTCTTCTGAGAGTGAAATATGGCAAATGTGCATTTTTTTAAAAGATAGCACAAAGAAACTGTTGAAGGGGGAAGGGGCAAAAGGGAGAGAAGATGGGGATGGGAAGCAAGGGATTAGGAATGGAAAAAAAGGAATGGAAGGAAAAATAGAAACAAAGTTCTGCAAATGGAGAGCAGAAGAAGGATTGAAAGGAAGGGATGTTAATGTGAAGAAAAAGGAAGTGAATTATTTTGTGCACACTACAAGTTCCCTGTGATGAATGTGATCATTATGTGTGTCAAAAGTATACCAATAAAATTATTTAAAAAGACAACATTCTATATTTTGGCACCTTCTCAAACTCTAAATCTAATAATTTTTGAATGATTTCATTTTTAAAAGGCTTTATGTGAATATTGCGTTTGGTTTTTAGAAATCTAATGTTAACATTTTGAAAAGAATGCAACAGGGAGCTGGGTGTAGCAGCACACACCTG